ACCCCCATCCCGACACTCCACCCACACTCACACCCACCCATACGCACACAGCCACACCCACACACACCACACCCCACACACCCACTCCCACCATTTTGTGCGATTCTTATTTTAATAGTTATTTCGGCTTGTCTTTTTTCTGGGTTTTATTGTTTTGGGTGAGTTATGCTCACTTTTCTAGTTGAAACCGGAATGGCTTTTCATTCATGTGTCGACTAGGCGAGAACGAGTTAACTATAGAAAACTACTAATGCAATTATCATTAGCAGTTATTATATGAAAATTCTTTCTCTAAAAATGAATAGATGATATAAAGAAGAAATGTTAGTAGTTTTATTTGAGCTGTAAATCAATAATAGAAAATATTAATTCGCACGCGAAATTATACAAAAATGAAAATTGTCAAATGTTTTTAAAATAATGTTGAGTTCTCATGATGGTCTGCTTGCCAATTTAACTTGTAGACGATTGTCATACAAGATCTGAAAGATAGATCATGATCATGTCAGTCGTCAAATGTTTTTATATTATAATCATATTTTGGCTGCTTGCTAGCAACACAATCTAGTAAGAGTTTAGGTTGAGATGGCTTTGCTTTTTTGCTTGATTTAACACGAAATTGTTTAGGATTATGTCCAATTTTTGTTGTTATGTTTCTCAGCAGGATATTGTGCTGTGATTCAAGACCATTGGGTGGCAATCGTTGTTGTGGACGATATTCAGCACCGTGTGGTAAAGATATTTGTGACATTAGAGATAATCGACGTTGAGCATTGAGAAACATACTCATGAGACGACCATTTTGTCGTTGATCAATAATGGAAATGAGCGTGGTATTTGATTGTCGTTTCCCGTTTGCTCCACTCTTTCGATGATAATTTCGTATCATTTTAACGGTATGTACGTCTTTCAAGGCACTTTGGCGGTAATTATTGTTCGTATTGATTAATGGTTAAAATCACTGTCTTACTAGAGTAAGAATTAAAATTTTGCCTTACTCGCAGTAGTATTTATACAATAAAGAGCAAATAATATTCCAGCACTTGAAGATCAAACAATTCATACATATTCTCCTGTTTTATTATCGTGTATCATAAACATAGCTCAAGTTTTCTTTTTATTGCATGACAAATAGAGTAAGGAGTGAGTCAGATAAAATTACCGATTTTTGACGGCCTATTTTTTCAAGGTAATCTAAGTCAGAAAGTTTCATTCTAATGTCACAAGATAGAAAATTGATAGATCATTTTTGACATAAAAAAGTATGGCGTTTTGCAAGTACTGGATGTCACTAAAACGTGTTTGGCTCAGCACTCTATCAAAATAAACTGTGATTTTTATAGTTTACATAATTTCCTCTAGGGTGTTCAGATACATCGTAAAAAATAAAATAAACATGTTTTTTTTCGTAACACAGAACTGAATTCGTGCACAATGTGTATCTGTTTCCAAATCCGTCTAGAAAAAATGTCGAGTATTATATTTCGGTTTCTTTTATGCAAAGGGAAGCATTTAAATTCCAGGATTAAATGAGAAACATAACGGTATAGAACACTTTGCAAAGTTTGAAATTCTACATCGGTTTCTATATCTTAGTAATTAAACAAGTCATGTTTTCTTGTGGTTTTTGTCAGTCGAATACGCTTTAACCTATTATTGGAAATAATTCGCTAACAGATACGCAATTCGATCAAGGCTTATTTTGAGCTGTTTTATTTAAAACAAATCGAGGCTGGAACCAAATAATTGTCATTATTTGACTTTGGCTCGACTTTAATATAAAAATGAATTTCGGAGAAAAATAATATCGTATGAATCACTTGTAAATATATGAATTTAACTAGTATGACATCAATTCATTGTTATCCCTCGATGTAACGGTATCATTCGCCTCTCGAGTAGGCCATAAAAAAATATGTATTACATGTTTCATATACATCCAGTAGAGCCTTACATTCTATTTCTTTTACTTTCTCTCTGTTCTTTGTCATCCTACACACAAAGAGTGTCTCTTCATCACAAAAAAAGACGATATTCAAATCTATTAATGTTCTCAATTCACAATAATCTCGAATGACGGATATAATCTCCTTTGACAAATAACGATTAGTAACTTTCAATTTGACTTTCTGTAATCATATTTTTATAATGTGACTACTCAGCCATTGGCAATGCAATAGTCGAAGTCGGCTGATAAAAGCAACGTTCTTCACAATTTGATCATCGAAGATGATAATGCCGTTCATTAACGCTCTTGTTTTTTACGCTGCATATCAATGCTTTCGCAATAGCACTGAAATATAATCTTATCGTTGTTAAACAATGTTGATGCAGCTTCTTTTTACCGGACTATTGATTTTGTACTGTGTTTTTTTGCGAGTAAGAAAAAAACCATTGTTGACAGTCGACAAAGTGCGTCATTCGTTGATTGCTTCTCGAACTTTTACTGCCCGATGAAAAGCAGCTACTCAAAGATATCATATGCAAACATATAATCATTCCATAAAAACGACGCAAAAGAGATTGCGGGTTAGTCAAATATTTTTTGTCCTTGGCAGACGGGTCATGAAATGCACAGAACATATTTATCTCTCTTGAAGGGTAAATAAAAGCCGATTTACATCGATAGTAACTTGGCGTCTGCCA